GATGAGTCTCATAATTTACAGAAAGCGTTACAATGTCTCTATTGTTACCGTATTCTGTTATTTTTCGGATATGTGGTTTTGCCCTCTTGATGTGCGTTTTCTAAGGAACTTTGAGATGCATTAGTGTTTAAGCACCATATAAATGCAAAGCCTCATCTGTAATTTTATCTGGTGACGCTTGTGATCCAGCTAGGGATTATGGATCACGCTGATTGGTGGAACCCCACAACCCTCTGGGCTGCGAAGTGGCCAGGAGATGTGAGCATAGCAATTGGAATCGTGTATTTTATCTATAAAGTACTTTGTATAGAGTTTTTTTCAGGTGACTGATTTTATAGCAAAAGCAATACCCTCATTGATTTAGCCAAAGATTCCAATGTAGGAAAATTGTTTTGAAACGGTGAGACTTTTGTGGATAAAATTAATACTATATTACCACTTTTATAAGAAAATGACATGCCAATTAAAGTATATTTTATAAACATTTATTAAAACAAAACTTAAAATTTCACATGTATTCATTAAGGTACATGCAAAACAACTTAAACAGTTGTAGCAATCAAAACAGTAAAAAAAATAGGATACAGTTTCATAGCATTAAAGACATTCTAAATTACGAAACCAACTGTGAGCTAAAATTCTGGTTGGGGTTTGACTCAGCCATCATCCCCCTGGGGTCAATAAAATTGGTATAACTTTGGGAATGTCGATAGTGGTTGTCCCTTTGGAAAACCCCCATCATATGAATGTGAAATTTCCACCACTGGCTTGGAGCTGTAAACGGGAGCAATACATGATTTGACTTCATCATAACAAATCTTGTGTTTATCTGTCATAACATTTTGTGCTTTGTATTTATATAGCGCTAAATATAAACTGCATTGTTAAGGCAATATACAAAATATTGGGACAAGGGAATCGTGTGTACCACCAAAGTGGGGGTATATAGATATACTTTTAAAATTACAACATTCGATATGAAAAAAATATATGACATACCTTGAAGGTAAGTTGTGATTGAAGACACGAAATGGAGAAGAGAAAGTCAGGGGCAGAAGAAGAGGAAGGTATTGACCATGGACTTGATCAGAGGCAGGGAGTCGACAGCAAGGATGGTCAGGGATGCAATTCCAGCCCATAGAAGCAGCAGTAGCAGAGAAGGAGTGACTTCCTATTGAGTGAAGGTTAACTGCATATGTTAACAGAAAAAATGGTTTCTGGAGCAGGCAGCATGTGGAAGACAGTGAAGAAAGATGGGAGGTGAGAGGTAGACAAATTGATGTTGCATTGGATTGAGGGCCATTGTACAGATCTGAGCGAATGATGATTTTGTCTCATGTAAAGGAGTGGGTGAGAAGTTTCTCCAGCATCACTGAGGATCACCTGGAGTTTGGAGGTGAGAGATTTGGGAGACCATAGAGAGGAGAGTGTCACAGTTGTCAAGTTATAATGCGACAGAGGCACCGATGAGGTTGTCAGTCGCAGCTGAGGTAAGGAAATGGCAGATGTGGGAGATGTTGCACTGATGGGAGGTGAGCTGGGATAAATGGGAATACAACCAGAGCTTGGGATTAATGCAATCTTTAGCAGTGTCAATGCAGAGTTCAGGCTTTGCTCACTAAAACTAATCTTTGCTGATGGCAGACCAAAGAGTATGATAGCAGATGCTTAATAGGTCAGAAATACAATGCCAAGCTAATCTGTATTTTTTTAAGCTGACATTACTGGTGAATTACTTATTTATCATAGCATGTATAAAATGAATGTCATTAGTACAAGTCAAACTGTAAATTTATGGTATTGTGCTTTTATACAATATTAAACCAATATACAATGCATGTGATAACACATTCAGCAATTTACACGACATACCTATCAGTACATTCTGGCCATTGAGAGGCATGTGTCATCACAACCCACGTCTCAATTCTGAAAAACTGGTCTTCAAGACTGAGATTTCTCTTCTACTATTTGTGGGTTTTCTCCAGGAACTCTGTTTCCTCCCGTACAAAAATACTATTTGATAAGGAATTAGTCCACACATTCTAATATACAACCCTCCTGAAATGGAGTCTTGCTACTCAGCGCGGCTTTCCTGAGTAAAGGACTTGCTCTGGTCTTGGCCATTCCATCATCTTGCATCATCAGCAGCACTACTGTTGGCACTGTCATCAACACCATTATCATCTTTGTCATCACCACCACCATCATTACAACAATCATCAATGCTAAGCTAATAATTATTATAATTGACATGATAATTTGTCAATTCAAATGTATTATCCTCAAAATATGTGCATTGAATGTACAGGTAATCTATATACAGTGAGGGAAAAACGTATTTGATCCCCTGCTGATTTTGTACGTTTGCCCACTGACGAATAAATGATCAGTCTATAATTTTAATGGTAGGTTTATTTGGACAGTGAGAGACAGAATAACAACAAAAACCCAGAAAAACGCATGTCAAAAATGTTATAAATTGATTTGCATTTTAATGAGGGAAATAAGTATTTGACCCCCTCTCAATCAGAAAGATTTCTGGCTCCCAGCTGTCTTTTATACAGGTAACGAGCTGAGATTAGGAACACACTCTTAAAGGGAGTGCTCCTAATCTCAGCTTGTTACCTGTATAAAAGGCACCTGTCCACATAAGCAATCAATCAGATTCCAAACTCTCCACCATGGCCAAGACCAAAGAGCTCTCCAAGGATGTCGGGGACAAGATTGTAGACCTACACAAGGCTGGAATGGGCAACAAGACCATTGCCAAGCAGCTTGATGAGAAGGTGACAACAGTTGGTGCGATTATTCGCAAATGGAATAAACACAAAAGAACTGTCAATCTCCCTCGGCCTGGGGCTTCATGCAAGATCTCACCTCGTGGAGTTGCAATGATCATGAGAACGGTGAGGAATCAGCCCAGAACTACACGGGAGGATCTTGTCAATGATCTCAAGGCAGCTGGGACTATAGTCACCAAGAAAACAATTGGTAACACACTACGCCGCGAAGGACTGAAATCCTGCAGCGCCTGCAAGGTCCCCCTGCTCAAGAAAGCACATATACATGCCCGTCTGAAGTTTGCCAATGAACATCTGAATGATTCAGAGGACAACTGGGTGAAAGTGTTGTGGTCAGATGAGACCAAAATGGAGCTCTTTGGCATCAACTCAACTCGTCGTATTTGGAGGAGGAGGAATGCTGCCTATGACCCTAAGAACAGTATCCCCACCGTCAAACATGGAGGTGGAAACATTATACTTTGGGGGTGTTTTTCTGCTAAGGGGACAGGACAACTTCACCGCATCAATGGGACGATGGACGGGGCCATGTACCGTCAAATCTTGGGTGAGAACCTTCTTCCCTCAGCCAGGACATTGAAAATGGGTCGTGGATGGGTATTCCAGCATGACAATGACCCAAAACACACGGCCAAGGCAACAAAGGAGTGGCTCAAGAACAAGCACATTAAGGTCCTGGAGTGGCCTAGCCAGTCTCCAGACCTTAATCCCATAGAAAATCTGGAGGGAGCTAAAGGTTCGAGTTGCCAAACGTCAGCCTCGAAACCTTAATGACTTGGAGAAGATCTGCAAAGAGGAGTGGGACAAAATCCCTCCTGAGATGTGTGCAAACCTGGTGGCCAACTACAAGAAAAGTCTGACCTCTGTGATTGCCAAGAAGGGTTTTGCCACCAAGTACTAAGTCATGTTTGACAGAGGGGTCAAATACTTATTTCCCTCATTAGAATGCAAACTAATTTATAACATTTTTGACATGTGTTTTTCTGGATTTTTTTGTTGTTATTCTGTCTCTTACTGTTCAAATAAACCTATCATTAAAATTATAGACTGATCATTTCTTTATCAGTGGGCAAACGTACAAAATCAGCAGGGGATCAAATACTTTTTTCCCTCACTGTATATAAAAGGGAAATTTGTGAATATGTGTGTCTGTTCAAAATGTTTAGCGTACTTCCCGACATGCAACAAACTTGAAATTTGGCATGTGGGTAGGTTCCAGACTGTATAAAAATAGACTTGTATTATTTGGCGGGGGGGGGGGGGCGCAATAATGCATATATTTTGCACGGCAAGTGAGCTGTGACGTCACATCTGTCATCTGACCCGTATGCTGAAGCGTTCCGCAGTGTGCCTGCTCATGTCACGCACCCCCCCCAACCCTCCGCGGGTACAGTTCCATACAAATGTGTTGCAGGTCTAATGCGTGCTGTGTGAACATCGCCACTTGGGGGTCAAAGGCGGCCGGGCGTGGTGCTGGCCACCCACCCCCTCGTGTGCCGTGCCGGCCTTCATAGGTGCTCGCTAACAGCACTTGCCTCAACAGTCTCACAGTCTACACGGGGGATCTTTGTCTTTATCCTGTGTGTGTGGGGGGGGCAGCGACTGCGTAGCGATTCGCGCGCTGTGCTACGAACCCGGCGACCCGAGTTCGATTCCCGCTCACGGCCACCACCGGTGACGATTATTTGAACCGGTCCTGGACCTCCCCTAGGTCGACTCAGCCTCAAACGAGTAACTGGTGTGGTGTGTGAACATCGCCACTGGGGAGACAAAGATGGCCGGGCGTGGTGAATCCAAGTCCCGGGCGAAGCCGGGTAGTAAAGCTAGTCTATATATATACATAAAAGGGAAATTTGTGAATATGTGTGTCTGTTCGAAATGTGTAGCATACTTCCCGACATGCAACAAACTTGAAATTTGGCATGTAGGTAGCTTCCAGACTGTATAAAAATAGACTTTAGTATTTGGGGGGGGGGCGCAATAATGCATATATTTTGCACGGCAAGTGAGCTGTGACGTCACATCTGTGATGTCACCCGCATGCGGCAGCATTACGCAGTGTGCCTGCTGACGTCACGCATTCCTCCCCCAATCCTCCGCGTAGGCCGTGTATTAATCCCAGACAAGAATCCAAGTCCCGGGCGAAGCCAGGTAGTAAAGCTAGTACTGTAAACTAAACTTTTTATTTGACCAGATAAAGCCCACTGAGCTATATAGCTCTTTTTCAGAAGTGATCTGGCCACAAATGATAGGTCAACAGTGGTTTATCATGTGGAAATGTATCGCAGCCAAATATTCAAAAGTTATCTGCCAATGTAATGAAAATATTACATTTATATTGGTGAAGGGGAGTTTTTGACAGTTCAATGAGGCTGACCTCTCATACATCTCTCAAGTGTTACATTTCAGTTCATGGTCGATGACAATACATCTCCAACTCTTCCTATTCTCCATCAAAGTCAAAGTTTCACAATTTTCCTGAATAATGTTTCAAACAAAACGTTGAATATTCCAGGAGAGGCTCGAGTCAGCCCCACCATCATTTGTCTCGGGCCATTAAAATGAGTTAAACCCACTTTGTTGGAAGCCACAACATTATCCATTTTATAAAGATGCTGGCCTCTGCCATGGGTTTGTAGAACTTCCAACAGTGATGAGCACTGCCCCACACTCATTTGAACAGTGTGATACTTCTAAATATAACCATTGACTCCCTCGCATAATCAACTCCCATCATCTCTCCACTGTTACATCTTCCTCTTTCATTGGCTCAGGAAACACAAAGACTCCACTCGAAGGGGGATCCGTGGTTGCCTCTTTCGCAGTTGCCACCACCATCATCATCACCACCACCTTTGACGGTGATGCCAAAGCATTGTTGTTATTAGAAGGACAGGGGGATGTGGAGAAGGAGGAGCTAGAGAAAGAAGGTGACAATGGCACCTTGTCTCGATCCTCCAAAAAGGAGGGCACCATCTTCGCAGCTCCAACCACTGTCGCTCCTGCATCACCGACGGCTAAGTTGGGCCGCACGCTCAACGAAGACGAAACGCTGGACGGGCTCCGACCACCGCTGGTGCTCCCGTTGCTGCCTCGTCTATTAGCGTGGGAGCGCTCGCCGCGGAGGCAGCAAACGAGCGCAGTGAACGCCTGGCGCATGTCGCGGCTGCAGGCGGCATAGATGATGGGGTTGGCGGCTGAGTTGAGCACGGCCAACGCGATGGCGTAGTCGGCGGCGCGCAGGAGCACGGGGCAGCGCCGGCTATCGCATGCCACGTCCACGGCGAGGAGGGCAAAGAGCGGCGACCAGCAGGTGATGAAGACGCCCACGACGAGGGCTAGCGTGCGCAGGAGGCCCAGTGAGCGGCGTGGGCGGCGGCAGCGGGACGATGATGATGACGTTAGCGATGACGATGATGATATCTGCGAGAGGAGGGCGAGAGTAAAACAGAGATGTACGGTCAGGGTAAAGTCATTAACATTGATTGTTTACGTCATTTGTTTTTCCAGGAAGGTCTCACCGAGTCACAATTCACCCTTTGTAGTGAGATGTTTGGCAAATTCCTTTACAAGGAGTTTAGTGTGGGAGGAAATTGGAGCACAAAAGGTCATTCACAAATGTTCACAAACCCACTTGCTGTACTGCCATCACCTGGTCACCTCACAGCCCAGTGGGTTTGGGAGTTTGACAAGTTTTTTATTTGATCCAGAAACTCTTGCAGGTGTGCACCACGATGCCTGGCTTAGAAGCTGTCATAGCAAATGCCATTGATTCTGCAGCCATACTTTGATGTCTCTTCCTTTCTCTAGGTCCCGCATCTGTTGCGAGGTGAAGACCTGGTCTCCAAGGATTGCTCTTCCAGAGAGGTGTATTGTATATAATGTTGCGTTTAGTTTGTTTTTGCTTTGTGATTTGCATTAAATATTAAAAATACTTTTGAAGTAAATTAGTAAAATTCATTAAATATATCATATAATTTTCAGGTGCATTGATATAGATGACCTTTATAAAGTGTAGTTTTCAGTTTTGCATTATTTATAACAATGCATTATTCTGCATAACTTAACTTCCAATTAATGTTCAACCTTCAATGTTACATTTAACCTGCTTTACTGATGCCATACCAACCCTAATACTAATTCTTGTCTGTTACCAAATCACTCTGAATGTGTTTGATCTCGTTAGATCTCAGATGCTAAGCAGGCTGGAGCCTGGATAGAGTTTGCCAGATTTCCTTAGGTGGCTGTGGGGCTGTGCTAAGTGGTAGTCAGCAGAGTGCCGTGCAAAACAATCATTGCTGTACTGTACTTATATGCTCTTGTGTCTGCTCTCCTTCACGAAGCCACACTGACCCACTTAGTGATACTCTTTGGTTCTTTGGGTAAAGTCACGTCAGTAGAAAATAATAGATCACGACGTTTCGATCGCAACACAAGCGATCGTCATCATATATATAGGTCTGACCTATATAACCTCTTGTCACGGCAGCTCTCTCGCCTGCTTCAGCAGTTTTCCTGCTATAATTGTCTCACCTGATGACGATGGCTTGTGTTGCAATCGAAACGTCGTGATCTATTATTTTCTACCTACGTGACTTTACCGAAAGAACCAAGGAGTATGGATTCCTGCAGTCACGAAAGCTTCAAACCACTTAGTGATGTATGGTAAAATAACCATAATGACCTGCACGGTGCCGGAGGCCCTCATTCAGCAGTGGGTTGACAAACAACTCTAAATTCATATGGAAACCTAACTCTTAGCCCCTAAATCCTAAACCTTAAACCTCCAATTCTAATTGTCGGATGCATTGCGGGGTTGTCAGCTGTGCCTGTCCACCTCCCGCTCACCTTCCTCCGTGCGGCCCGCAGTGCTCGAGCGGGCTTCCGCCGGCTGGCTGCGACGGCGCGGTAAAGGCGAGCGTAGAGCGCCACGGTGGCTGTCAGCGCTAGTAGAGACGCCGCCAGGCAGAACGCCACGTAGCTGCGCGCGTAGAGTGGGAGCAGCGTGGAGCACTCGCTCACATGCCCCATGCAGTTCCAGCCAAGGCTGGGCAGCACCGCCACGAGGATTGCCACGGCCCAGCATGCCCCCACGGTGAGCAGCGGCCTTGTCGTCCTCCCAGCCCGACCGCCGCCGACCCCGCCACTCTTACCAAACGGGCCACGGTGGGGCCGGCGTCGCTGGCCGTTGCCGCTGCCGCCACCGTTGCCCCTAGTGCCAGGCCGCGAGCGGATCATGGCCGCGTGGCGCTCCGCGGCGATGGCAACGAAGCTGAAGAGGGAGGCGGCGAGCGCGGCAAAGGCGGCCCCCTCGCGGGCGAACCATCGCGCGGGTGTCAACGAGAGTGTCGCGGCGCCGCCGGACAGGAGGACGTTGGCACAGTAAGCGGCGGCCGCCACGGCATCGGCGAATGCCAGGTTGCCCATGAGGCACAGGCAGTGCGTGGCCGTGCGCATGTGGGTTCGGTGGCGGAAGAGGGCGAGCAGAACGGCAGCATTTTCGGCGACGATGAGGGCACAAACCACGGCCATCACCATGGTCTTTGTGTCGGTGCCGAGTGATCGTGGACTGGTGAGCATGGAGCCATTGGTGTTGTTGTTGAGCCAACCGGGGTCGAATTTGCGGCCACGGAGACGTCCTGTCAGGTTATAGTGCAGGAAGACTAGGCCGGGCCCATCATAGCTTGGGGATTGGCCCATGGTGGAGTTGACCAGTGAAGGAGTTAATCTCTCTGCAAGTGAACGGGAGAGTGTGTGCGACTGAGGGTTACAAAGTGTGTCTGCGAGTGTTTATCCAAGAATTGCCACGTGTTGGGGTCGTGATTTGATCCAAGGTTCAGATAATTATTTTTTCCATTGTAGTGAATATAGAACATCTTGTGGCTGTAGGGATCATGTGAACCACTTAAATATACCATTAAATCAGCAATAATTTATGGCTGTCAATCGCTGGATGAAGGCATTCCCATGCCATTTTAGTCATGACAATTTGACTGTACTTCACCAAACTGGTCAGTGTCGGTTATGGGTAGGGGCCTAGGCCCAGTTCAGTTATCTCACAGCACTGATGTTAGCCGTGGCTGGAAATCGAACCAGCACAGTCCTCTATCTGCTGCATAACTGCTTCACACTACATGCAACATATAGGAATGGAAAACAATGTATTATAATGTTCGCGATTCAATGCATGCATCATCATATGCATGAATAATACTCGATGCATCATTTGAAATGTATTCTTACTCATGAGACAAGCAACAATAGTGTTATTTCACGTTTAGGTTAATGGAAGGAGACAAGTGAGACACAAATAATTGCATCATTAAAATTCACCATCTCACAGAGGGAAGGTGTGAATCGTTGCATGCTTACTAACTGCATTTAAATATTTTTTCAGAGGTGTGTTAGCTTGTTTGGATAATTCTTGGAAATTTCATTTTTGTCTTCAATTGTGCTGCCAGCATCGTGTCATGAAATTAAGTATTCATCTGGATTTAATGCAGAACACTATCTTCCCCTTGTGTCAGACTGTTTCGTGGAAGCAGATATTACACAACTACTGCCAAGATCTCAAGTGTGTTTTGTTTTATCAATACACTAGGGGCAGCACGTTCCTACATGTTACGTTGCAAAGAAATGTGTTTTATTGATTGATTTTATTTGTTGATGCGGGTAAGAAACATTTAGCCGTAAGCAGACAGTAGCAAACACATTCAAGGAAAACAACATTAAATTCATTCATCATTAAAAATAACATTGGCAGGTTAATGGACATTAACACTGTACAGTATGTATGTATCTATGTTGAACTTCTTTCGAAAACTATCCAACACTGAAGCACCAAGTCGCACAAAGTCCGCTAACCACAAGTACAGGGATGTAGTGCATATCAGACATAAACCACCAAATCGTTCCGGGTTCGCTCACCACATTGCAAAAGAAGTGATATTTTAAATCGAAGGAATATCATAAATGTTTGTTTCATGGCAGAGGGAAACACCAGTACTTTTAATTATCGGAGCTGATATTTTCAGCCAAATTAATGATTAAAAAAATGCATTTAATTATTGTTAACAGCCAATTTAATGGACGCCATAGTGTAGCAGTGGCGACTGGTTCCCAGAGGCAGAAGTTTTAGCTGTGAGCATTGGTTACTATACTGTACTAATGTGTCATAAGGATGAACCGGTCCACAGTTGTCTGCCTCACTACTGCTGGTTAGTCGGTCTCATTTGATCAAATTTGTTTGATGGGGAACCTTGAGTAGAGGACCACAATGCAGTTCTTATGGAACTGTTGATGATTTTTCCATAATGCGCAGGGCCGAGTGGATTTTGTACAGGTTTTTGTTTTGTTGAAACTTGTCATTTCCATATTTCATAACAAAGGTTCTTGGGTTATATAGCGTTATTATAAATGTGTCGCAACCATCCACCACCCGACATGGCCAATCAGTAAAAAATGTGTCACGTTAACAGAATACTGGTCGCGAAAGCCTGCGTGTTAAATTTCCATATTTGATGATGGAAACAGAAAATTGTATCTTATCCTGTACTTTGGTCTTTCCTAGGTCGACTCGACCTGAAATGAGGTCTGGATACAGTGTGTCAATATCAGTGCTCGGGAGACAAAGGTGGCCTGGCGTGGTGCTGGTCACATCACCCCCTTGTGCGCCATGCCGGACTTAATAGGTACTTGCTAACAACACATGCACAACAGCCTATGGATAAGCAGCGTATCATTGTGTTTTTTATTTAGTATTTCTATATGTGTGTGCGTGTGTGTAGGGTAGTGTAGTGTCGTGATCTGCACACTGCACTACGAAGCCAGCTACCCGAGTTGGATTCCCGCTTATATTTCAACCGGTCTTGGGCCTCCTCTAGGTAAACTCAGCCCTTAATAATTTGAGTACAATACCTGGTGCAGTGTGTACATGAGCACTGGGGAGACAAAGGCGGCCAGGTGTAGTGTTGGCCACCTACCCTTGTACTGTGCCAGCCTTCATAGGTGCTCACGAACGGCACTTGCCCCAAGAGTCTGTAAAAGGCTAAATGGGGGACCTTCGTCTTTTTTGTAGTTTTGTGGAGTGTAATTTAAGTTCACGATACATGGATTTAGTTATGTTTTTAAGAATAACTTATTTTAAAATGTATGCACGTGAGATGTAAATTTGCACCTGTTTCTACATTTAAAAAATGAGCAAACCAAAGTGTACAAATATTGCCACGTAAAAAATGAGAAGTCGGAAGCAAAAAAGGAGATAATCGAATCGTGAATCCAAATCATGACAATTGAAGGCAAATTGTTACATGCCTAGTTTTAAGCACATGCGTACAATGGCGGAGCCAGGTATTTCAGGTAAGGGGGTCAACCCCTCCAGCAATGAAAAATGATAGAGGAGTTGTTAGTAAGTAAGGACCTGTCCCTTTTTTTCGACGCGTGTGCGGCGGTGGAGCAGCCATCGATCGAGGGTCGAATTCGAACCGTGTGTGATCGGCATCGCGCTCGCTTAAGGTGAATGCCTTCAGGGAAGTCGTGTACTGTATACGCAACTGCGCACAATTCTGAGTCACTTATAACTGCTTTGCCGTTATTTATTGCCAATTATGGACTCAGACTATTATCCTATCATCTCATTGAGTCCCTGGCACATAATAATATGCTACACAGTGGCAGTGGGGGTCGCAAAATGCCGATTTATTACTAATTAACCCCAATGATCCGATCGAAATTAGGGATTTCGATCGGATCATTGGGGGGGCACGTGCCACCCCCCCACCAGTGCATGCGTATAATGGTATACGTGGTAATCTGTGTAGTATGTACGTTTGTGTTCCGTGGTAAGTTTATATTGAGTTAGAGGCCCATGAGGGTTACATCAATGTGCAGTACCAGCAGTGTTCACCAGGAGGCGGTCTTGAATTGTCGATCTGCCGGGTGATTGAGAGAACAATGTGTATAATCATTCTCGAAAGCAGCAGAATCATAAGCAACAGGATCAGTAGCAATATCTTAAACAGAAGCGTCCTCAACAGCATCATAAGTATAAACATAATCAGATTACAACTATCAACAGCTGTTTCATTGACATCATTAACAGTAACAGCAGCATCTACAGTATCACATCTAATGCTTTCGCGGCAACATCATCAGCAGTGGCATTATCGTTAGCAGCACGTGACAGCAGCATCATCCTTATGATAAGAGCGTTTTCATAACAATGTCATTTTAATCATTACCATACCATAAGGACGTTTTTACCAAAGTTGTATTTTAAATATGAACTTACCTTTAAATGTGAAATTATTCCAGGTCTTGTATTGCGTCTTCTTGTCCGTCCATATTTATACATGCGTGTGTATGGAATGTCTGATAATTATATATGTCTGATAATTATATACATAGGTTAAGTGTGTGCATTTACGTGTATATATGTAAATACAATTATACCGTCATTATGTTAATGCAGTATTATATCCACATGTTACCATACATATATGCATAGGTGATATGCATGCAATCACTGTTACAAATTATTAAATGATTGGAATTCACCAGTGTTTAAAGTTTAACCCCAAGGGAGGCTTTAAACATCATAACTTGCCAACACTCATCATTTATACTAATGATATGCAAGACGTCATGGTAAAATGACAAAGCGCCCCCGCTCCTATTGGTCGATTTCGCCTTAGTGGGCGGGACTTTGTTGTGGTTTGAGGTGAGAGCTGAGACGGGTAGATGATGTTGATTGTGTATATATACAGGGAGCTTTAGTCTGGTTTCATAAGCCCCAGACGTAAGACTAAACCGGAAGATAGTCCTAGTTTTGCCTCAATAAGCGTTATTCATATTGAACCCTTTGGGAGTCTTATGTCTGGCTGTATGAACAACATACTTTAATACTGCACCCGAAGGGAGTCGTATTCTGCCTCTATGTGCCTCATACATTAATACTGAACTCTAAAGGAGGCCCCGTCTGCCTCTATATGCATCGTACATTAATAATGAACCCTAGGCTAACCTTAGTATGGCTGTACGAGCTAGACAAGGCTGAGAACATTGCACATGCCATTTGGTGGTCGTGATGACGGGCATGCACAGCATGATGGGAATTTTGTTTGTAAGCGCATCTACGTGTGCCATTGTATAAGAAACATTATAAACGAAAGTGTGCAATTCAGTCCATCTATTTCATCTATGTATACGCTTCGTACAATGGCAACTATAAAGAAGCCTTAGTCTGGCGTTTTGAGCCTCGTACATTCATACTGAACCCGAAGGAAGCCTTAGTCTGGCTCGGTATGAGCTTGATGCATTACTCCTGAACCCTAGGGGAGCCATAGACTCAGTGAGCTGTATACATTAACACTGACAGGTGTGGGTGGTGTTGCAGTGCCTTGATTTATTCTGCCGGACATTGTGAACGACGCAAATTGAAGAGGGTGGTTTGGGTGGAGGGTGGTGTCACATTGTCACCGTTAGTGTCACAATCTTTACCTGCGACCATTTATTTAAGCACGACAGATAAATTGAGGCATAAACACAACAGACAAATAATCTAATGGACACCGCAACGTCATGTGTAATGTAATATTTTAAAAAAAACGCATGTCTGTGTCTCCCTGCTCAAATAAATAGGGGACCGTTCTCATCAGTCAGCAGTTCCAAGGCCAGTTGTGGAAATTCTACATTATTATGGCAAAGAGCACTCTTTACATAGGATTCTAAATAATAATGATGACGATGATGCAATTTAAACCCTCAGGATTAACATCTCATTTCAAAATGTGTTTCAGCAAGGTGGCAGCGATACATCAGTTCAATGCACAGTTTACAAAATGAGCAGACAATTAATATTGCACCAAAGTGACACATTTTAAAATAACATTAATTTAATATGTAAATATTAAATTAAAACGAAACATTTTCATTAATTTTCCAAGTAAAAAAAGGTAATTTGAAACAATATAATAAGGTGTAATTATATGAAGTGCATACAATGTATTTATGTTATGCAATGGATACATTTGACTCTTGTAATAACAAGGTTTGTAATATTCTTTGGGTCTTTTGGGAAAGTCACGTAGATAGGTTCAAAGAAAATAACGACCGCTTGTGTTGCGATCGAAACGTCGTAGTTTTTTGTTATATTACTTGAACCTAACTACGTGACTTTACCGAAAGACCCAAAGAATATGAAATCCTGCAGTCACGAAAGCTTTAAGTCAAGGTTTTTTAATTTCTCCTTAAGAACATGAGCTAATTAAAAAAGTATCATAGTGAGATCTAACCGAGTTTCTCAGTAAGAGAAAGCTCTGCAGCCCAAAACAAACTCGGCAAATGTAGCCTTGAGCATGAGAGACATCTCAGACCTGAGATCCTGGGAAGAAACTAGACAGGTGAGTTTAGAGCTACGAAGGCAGCTTCCCATGTATACCTTAAAGGGTAAATACTAAGGAGTGGACCAAATAACCTGGAATGCGCCTGATCTCATTAGATCTCAGAAGCTAAGCAGGTTTGAGCTCGGATAGTGTTTGGATGGGTAACTGCCATGCATACCAGGCTGTGTGGGGCTGTGGACAACAAAGAGCAAGTGGAATTTTCCCAAATAACCCACACAGCATGCCTTCAATCGGCAGTAGCTTGATAAGAGGCCTGTACATGTGCATGTCCACTTAGTAATGGCGTTTTCTACAACTTTCTTCATTTATCCAGGACAGATTTTCACAGTTTGCAATGCTGTTCTCGAACGAGGCACTGAAATACAAACTATTTTGCACTGTTACATATTGGAAGCAGATGAGTGACCACAGACAAACCCAACACCTTTAAAATGTACTCGACCACTTATGAACAATATTTTCTTGACTCACCATGCAGTTCATGACAGGATAATACAAATTTTGATACATTTAAATACTACAAACTGAAAATGAACAAAATAAAAAAAAATTAAATTAACAAACATCAGCCCCCAACAATTAATTAAAAGTTAACTTAATGTTTTTTTTCAATATCCCCATTTTGCTGTAATTACCAGCTCGTCAAGAGATTAACATTGGGAACTCCCGTAGAGTGCAGTGTTGGGGAACGGCTCCGGAAGATGACGTCCCAGATCCACTTCAGTACGACTCTTGCCTTCATACAGCCTCTCAAAACAACACTGGATAGTGATTTTTGAAATTCCTGAAAAAGCAGTTCACCGCATGTCAGTCATCCGATGTGTGTAGGAATTGTAACCTATAACATGGACTTGATAAAATTTAAAACCAAGTGAAAAAACTATAATTATGATCATGGATTTTGCTTTGTGCAGTCAGTGGTGACCGGGTTGAGTCAGAGGAGATAAAACTTGAATGTAGCATTATTGAACCCCCCCCCCCTCCCGAACAAGTGAGATACCCAGCCCAGAGCTTTTGTCTTTTACCCAGGACCTTGTCTTTGTTGGACCCTTTTCGTCCGCATACAACGCAAATAATACAACTCACTTGGAGAAATATATGGGTCCAGGACCTCTGCATTGCCATGTTAGTATTTCAGACATGCCCATTATGACCATATGACAAACATAAGTCCTGCGACAGCATTCTTAATCTTGCACTCTCAGGTCCTCATCAATGTCTGCTTAGTGTTTTTGATGTGGAAATTATCAACCTTATTATAGCAATTGTGAACCTCCAGATAGAGAGCTCTAGACATGTCCAGTCCCAAGGATTTGACTATAAATCTAGGAACTCAGCGATGCTGGAATGCAGTCGTGACTCCAATGCCATTATTAACCTCCATGGAGAGGGATAGACACCAAGCCACAGCATTCATTAAAAATAAAAATTCTGCAATTATATTCCACTAATACTGTTCCTATCATGCATGAGATGACAAAATGTATCTTCGTCACTCGCAGCGTGCAGTGCACCACTTTGTTGGAGAACTGGCCAGAAAGGTGTCATACCAGAACGACTTCTGAGATCACTTCATTTTGTCTTTTTATCTGCACTGGAGGGCACCTTTTGCCATACCAACATTTCGTTTTCTTAGAGGTAAAATAACTCAAATTTGCCGGGTGGCTCAGCAGCACGGTGAGCGGCTCACAATGGCAAGGTTGCGAGTTCAAATCCTGGTTGGGGATGGATTCGGCCTATCAACCTATCTGGGATTGATCAAATGAGTACCATTTTGTGGTAATATAAGTCATTCTATGGACTCAGCCCTGCCATAGGAATGTGGAATTTCCACCACTGGCTCAGGACTGTAAACAAGATGTGAGCACCGCCTCAATTGACCATTTGAGCAAGAAATCATGTTGGTTTGACTTGACAGTTTTAACTTGAGTCATTTTTTTTCCATAATTGCTTACAATCTTTTTACACTTGAGAACCTAGTTATAGTCATGGTTGGCTGATACTTGGATCCAAACCCAGGATCTCAGCAGTACTGGCTCATTTCTCTGACGTAACAGCACCCTGAGCCACCCGGCCACCTCCTACCCCAGGGCTGTAATCTCAAACTCAGCACCTCAGCAATGCAAGCTAAGTTGTGTCCGACATGGCTATTATGATCTCTTCATTCAAGAGCAGCTCACAGCCTCGGTGGCGGCGGTGGGTCTGACGGACTCTGGCGCCGGTGACGGCGCTCGCCCTGCACTCCGAGTGCTCCTCCTCGAGCTGAACCCCCGCTGCCGGAACAGAATCTTGGCCGCAGCAGCGGCTGGAGCGTGGGCAGCGGCGGCGACCGCCCCGACGCCAGCGTGCGGCGTCGACGCCGTGTCGCTGTCCAGTCCCCAGTGGTGAGGGCTCAGGTGTTGGCTGCTGCGGCGCCGACCCATGGGCAGGGCCACCACTTTGGCCACGCAGCAGGCGAGACGGACGAAGGCGCGGCGCATCTCGCGGCTCGCCAGCGTGTACACGATGGGGTTGGCACCTGAGTTGAGCACGGCGAGCACCAGGCACCAGTCGGTGGCGCGCAGCAGCATGGGACAGCGTCGCGCCTCGCACGCCACGTCGGCAGCGAGGAGCGCGAAGAGCGGAGACCAGCAGGCGATGAAGACGCCCACAACAATGGCAACCGTGCGCAGGAGCGCCACCGACCTCTCGGAAGCGGCTGAGGCCCTCTGCGAAGCAGGCCTTGGCGTCAAAGATGGAGAGGGACAGCTTGCTCCGGTGTTTCCATCCGTTGTGGCCATTCTGGCTGTTTTGGGTGTACCGACTGTTCCGCCTGTTTCGGCCATGCCAGGGGCTGCGGCTGTTCCGCCTGTTCTGGTTGGTCTGGCTGACTTTGGTGTTCCAGCAGATTCACCAGCCTTCTTGTGGCTTACTGGAGAGGTGTTTTTCATGGGGGTTGCCGATCCTGCTGGCAGCTTAAGCTTTGCGCATGAAGACCCCAGCTCGGGAGATGCTCGCCCTGCCAGCGCCTTCCGAGCCGCTGCGGGAGCATCGATGGCAGACGAGCCAGCAGTGGAGGCGGACGGCGCCCGCAGGGATACGCGCCTCCCACTGCGCCGCACAAGGCAATAGATACGCGCATAGAGCACGGAGTCGGTCGCCAGGATGAGCGAGAAGAGCGCCACGCAGAAGAGCAAGTAGGACTTGGCGTACAGCGGCAGGATGGCCGAGCACTCAGGCAGGCGGCCCACACAGTTCCATCCGAGCGACGGCAGAGCCCCCAGCACCAGGGCCGCGGCCCAGCACGCGGCGGCGGCGATGGCAGCTCGGCGGCGCGCGCCGACGCGCCCCCCCGGGGTGAGGCGCATACGCAGCATGGTGGCGTAGCGCTCCACTGCGATGGCCAGCAGGCTAAAGACGGAGGCGCCCAGTGCCACGAACATGGCGCCCTCGCGTGCGAACCACGCAGCGCGGCTCAGCCTCAGCGTGGTGGCTCCCGACAGGCGCACGTTGGCGGCGTAAAGCGCCGCCGCCAGCAGGTCGGACAGCGCCAGGTTGAACACGAAGCAGTAGGTGGGCGTGTGCAGCCGGCCGTTGCACGCAATGGCAGCCATGACGAGGAGGTTCTCGGCAGCGATGACGCAGCAGACAGCGATGAGGGCCAGCGAGCCGGGCCCCAGTGAGGAGCTGGGCTCCCCGCGGGACCCATGGTCCAGCTTCCCCGTGTAGTTGTAGTGCAGCAGGATGAGCTCGGAGTCCGAGAGAGCTGAGCGGTTGAGCATGTCTACCCCTTAGATGTTATATTGTGCTCCACGTTTGAATTAGACCTTGGGCACACTATCAGAGTTTTCAGTAGTGTCAATTGGTATAAAATCAATGAAAATCCAGTTATAGAAAAAAAAAATTCTGGTAAAGCAACGTGTTTTAAGATGTGGTAACAGCGATGCTAGTGGAACTATTGAGGCGATGCAGAAGTTCGTTTGAAAATCTTGGTGCAGTGGACAAAGGTTCGATGACCCACCAAAATGATGACTGGTAACCAACCACCAGCGTTTAATTGCAGAGTACTTTAGGGTCCATTAGGGCTTCACCAGGTCTCAGGTATATGAAGGTGCCAATGCATGCAGTAGTTTGTATATAACTGGTAACATTTATGAATTTATGGATAACTGTACAGGTATTATAATTGCTGTTGATGAAAAGTCTAATCGAAACCCATTAAACTAATCATTGACAGCAACACAGACCTGGGCGGTAAGCGGCTACATGAAACGTTAAAAAAGAGCGAGTTGTAATTAGGTTGGACAACAAAGGTGAGCGACGAATTCCAGGGTAATAAGGAGTAGGCAGAGTGCTTTGTGCAGGAAGTAGGGAAACAGAATTCACGTAGGAATGTAAGGAGAGGTGAGAAGGTCAAATACGTTGAGACAGGTGCATTAATGGTGAGATTTTGTAGTTGCACATTAGCACTTTGGATAGTTGTGTGGTCAGGAACGGAAGATAATTTTGGCTAGTTTTCCCTTCTGCTGCAGGTAGGATTGGTGTCCTTCCCCTGCACCTCAGATTAGCACGGTTGGCTACGTACAGTGAAAAATAAATTCAATATACATACATTTGAGATACTGTATACTCTTGCATAGCTTTTCCTCTAGAATACCAAATCGCTGGTGTTAATATATTTTGACAAATCCAATGCCTCTTTGCAAATTGAATTTCTTCAGGAAATGAGTGGGCTCGTATCTCATTATACTTCTGAACTGCAAGGCCAGCCACTGTCATTGTAGAACCACACAACACTTGACCCACTTTTGGTTTTGCCTTATGGAAAATGGATTTGCTAGTGATCTTGGCGATAACTTTAGCAAAATAGTAATTTAAAGTTCACCTGACGTGGTTTTGTTTTTACAAAAGGGTGGGAAACCAGCCAGTGGTAAAGAACGTGTTGTCCTATGGCTGTGTATCATGTGCATTATATACACTGGAATGTGAGCTATTAAAATTATATTTTAAAATGTAAAATAAATACCCTGTCGACCCCCGAGCTTAGGAACCACCTAAACCAAAGTATGGAAGGTTTTGGATTATTAGGTTCCAGCAACCTGCTTGCTGTACTGCCACGTACTGGCAGTTGTGTATCTTCAGAATGAGATTCTCACGCCTGTGACACTCTCAGCATGGTCGCCCAACTCCGCCTCCCAAACTGAGGATTGTAGGTGTGGTTCATCATGGCCAGCACACCCGACTTGAGCTCGGTCAATGGTCCCTGCTGGAATCCTGGCTGGAGTGAGTTATTTTTAAGTGACAGATTTCAGCAATACTGAAATAGAGCAACGTGGTAAAGATGGAAAACTAGAATTCCAGAAATGTTGAAATTGTGATCTGAAATACAGAATATCAGGAACGTAAATCCAGAATATTCATATAACTTGGAATCCAGAAACTCTGGATTTAAAGAATTCTGGGACTTTTGATTGGAATCCAGAAAACAGACTGAAATTATAATTTAAGAGTATAAAATTGTTGGACTCTAGAATACTGTAACTTCATAAGGCTTGGGAAATGCTAATTTGGAAGACTATAACTCCTGAACTGTGTAATTGAGTTGATCGTAAATTCTGAAAATTTGGACCGTTAGGAATGTAGAACATTAAAACTCCATACTTGAGGAATTCTACAAAACTGGAATTTCAGTGTATCCGGAATACTGTACTGACATTGCAGAAGTTGGTCTTCGGACAATTACTGTGGGCGGCAAGAGAAAATGCGAAGCATTAATTATTGTGAATGGGTGAAAGCTTGAGGATGAAATTGGATAGATGGTAATATATCTTTAATATCCAGTGGCCCCATGAACAAGTAAAAATTGGGTGTCCTGCTGAAACGAGCCTGGGGTGATGATCATCTACGTTGCTGGCACAGGGCTAACAGTGGAAATTCCACATTGAAATGGTGGTAGTAATTACATGCAAAGATCCATAAATGAAAATATATGCAAATTAATTATTAAAACAATGATATGCAAGGGTTTTATATATATACATTGTGATTGATCAAAATAAACTTTTGCAAACAAGATGTAAAAAAAGAAAAACAACACAATCTCCATATATATAAAAGGCAAAGTTGTGAATATGTGTCTGTTCAAAATGTTTAGCGTACTTCCTGACATGCAACAAGCTGGAAATTTGCAATGTTGGTACTTTCCAGACTGTATACCATGCAAAAATTATAAAAATACACTTTTTTTTGGGGGGGGGGGGGGGGGGTGGAGCTCAATAATGCATTTATTTATTGCACGGCAAGTGAGCTGTGACGTCAAATCAGTCACGTCACCCGCGCACGTGGAAGCGTAACGCATTGTAGTGTAGTGGTTAACGCGCCGCGCTACGAACCCGGCAACCCAAGTTCGATTCCCGCTCACGGCCACCACCGGTGACGATTATTTTAACCGGTCCTGGGCCTCCCCTAGGTGGACTCAGCCTCAAACGAGTAACTTCTGTGGTACTTTTGATTTAAAGCTTTCGTGACTGCAGGGATTCATATTCTTGGTTCTTTCGGTAAAGTCACGTAGAAGGAAAATAATAAAAATATAGAAATACAATTTTCACGACGTTTCGACTGCAACACAAGCAATCATCATCAGGTGTGAAAACCACAGCTGTGGTATATTTTTATTATTATTTTATTGTTTCCCTTCTACGTGACTTTACCGAAAGAACCAAGAATATGCTGTGGTACTCTTTGGTTTTTTCAGTAAAGTCACGTAGGTAAAAAATTAAAAGTAAATTAAATCACGACGTTTCGGGCGCAACACAAGCTTAAGCGGTGTGCTTTTGCTAACTTGTGCCCACCTGAAGAAGGGCGCTTGTGTTGCGCCCGAAACGTCGTGATTTAATTTAGTTTAATTTTTTACCTACGTGACTTTACCGAAAAAACCAAAGAGTATGAATCCTTGCAGTCACGAAAACTTCAAATCTAGAACTGCTGTGGTGTGTGAACATCGCCACTGGGGAGACAAAGGCGGCCGAGCGTGGTGGATCCAAGTCCCGAGCCAAGCCGGGTAGTACAGCTAGTTATGCCATATAAATGAGAAAAATATTGTTTTTGAAGTGAATTGTGACTCCCAAACCTTTACAATTTATTGAATCGCTGGGGGCGAGGGGGGGGCCACTCTCTCTGCATTAGACAAAAACCGCTGTTAACTTCTCGCAAAGTGGTGCTTAACTCATTATCAAATCTGGATGATAGACGGCGATGATGATGCTGATGATGGAATCTGTCGCTGTCCCCATCCAAGATTGCATCCCGCGACCTGACTGCGTATCGAGCGCTCGGACCGCAATACCATTTTAAGTATGGGAACCTTAAGGGCCTAACACTGACTATCCAAACTCAGAAAAAAAACAAAAGCAACTATGAAACCTGAAACTGAAAACTAATTTTAAAAGTTTTCTTTTGAACAGATTCGTATTTTTGTCAGTGAGTTCGTGTTCTGCTTTCTTTCTTTGAACCGAGGTCTGTCACTTAAAGAAAGTCAATTCAGCCCAAAACAACAAAAACACGTTTTTGTATTCTTGTAGCTGCACATCTAGGCTGTGTGTTGCGGCCTGTCTGACATGAGTTTGGAGATTCACAAATAATGACTTCCATTTGCACCTCCCATAGCACTCGAGTGACGTCACGGTTGTGATTCTTGCATTTGAACCCAGAAGCACGGCAGGAGCTTCACTTGAGTGCTCATCTGAAAGTCAATTGAGAGTCTATAATCTAATTACCAAAGCATCAAGCCTTTGAGAGGGAGCCGTGGACACATACTAAGTGTGTCGCTACTCGCGAATAGCCTTTCGGTTTTTGGGTTGCACCCTGACCTTTAACCGTAAACTTAAAATATTACGTGTTTACACCCACACGCATCTCCACTGTATTTAAAAAAGGGGTTTGTATAATGCATGCATTCTGAAATACAATGCTGTCGGCCTTAAAGGTTTTAGCCTGAGGAGACCTGGGATTGGGACTCATCAAACCGGTTCTTAAGGTGCGGTATTGTTTTCCTCGTGGCATTTGGGATGGTGGGCGAATGTAAGTCAATGTCAACATGTGAACATTCATCAACCAACTTGCAGTGAATTATAGTCTACTCCTATATAGTTTAACACGTAGGCTTTTGCGACCAATATTATTCATAATAAAGGTTTTTGGGTTAGATCGCGTTATTTATAAATGTGTCGTAACCCTCCACCACCCGACACGGCCAATCAGCAAAAAAAGTGTCACGTTGACAAAAGACAAATAATTCACTACTTTAGCCCACCGGTGTGTTTGAGAGTGAATCCACAACATTTACAGTTTGAGTACGACGTTTCGCTGGTAATTACATCCAGCATCATCGGGCAATTCACCTGATATGAGTCACCCTGCTGCTCTATTTCAAACCGGGAGCAAGCGAGGGCTTTACCATTCTGGCGAATTGCCCGATGATGCTGGATGTAATTACCAGCGAAACGTCGTACTCAAACTGTAAATGTTGTGGATTCACTCTTCAACACACCGGTGGGCTAAAGTGAATTATTTGTCTTTTGTCAACGTGACACTTTTTTTGCTGATTGGCCGTGTCGGGTGGTGGAGGGTTACGACTACTATATACACTGATATATATGCCTATCTAATCTGATAAGAGATGTATTCATCTCATCTGATACAAATCCTATATCTTATCCGTTGTCTCATTCAACACATGCAGACAGATACAAAGTCAGTGGTCTCCCTGCTTAGATGAGTTTGGAGTGTTACTCTTTTCCATTAGCAGCCTCAAAACAGTGGTGGAAATATCAAATAGTATGACCACCACTTACAGTATATACATTCAAATATATACTCAGTCTCATACTCACACAGATAGAGATCCCCCGTATAGCCTTAACAGACTGTTGGAGCAAGTGCTCTTAGCGAATACCTATTAAGGCCGGCACAGCACACGAAGGGGGTAGGTGGCCAGCACCACACCTGACCGCCTTTGTCTCCCCAGTGGCGATGTTTACACACTGCACCAGGTACTGGTGCAGTTTGAGGCCTAGGGGAGGCCCAGTACTGGATCAGATAATCGTCACTGTTGTTGGCCGTGAAGGGGGAATCGAACCCGGATCGAGGGTTCGTAGCGCAGCGCATTAACCACTACAATACCGCTCCCCTATACTCACACACATTTACAGGTACATGCATGCCCGTGTGCATAAACACTGACATACTGACGTAATTTACATAACAAATCATTAATGCAACTCAAAACAGAAATTCTGCATGTTACAAACTAGCCTTTAATCAAATAATCTTTAACCCCTCCATTCTTTTTTTATTTAAAGCTTTCGTGACTGCAGGGATTCATATTCTTGGTTCTTTCGGTAAAGTCACCACGTAGAAGGGAAACAATAAAATAATAAAAATATAAAACAATCAAATTCTCACTGAAAATTATCACTGAGAAAAATAATAAAAATATAAAATTCTCACTGAGAATTTTACTGAGAATTTTATTGTTTTATATTTTTATTATTTTATTGTTTCCCTTCTACGTGACTTTACCGAAAGAACCAAGAATATACCCTCCATTCTCGTAAAATCTCGGAAGATAAGCAGGTTTAAACATTCTTAAACGTTGGATGGGAGACCGCGTGGGAATACCCAGTGTTGTTGACTTGAACGGAGAGGTGGCAAGGATATTTGCTTTACAGAAATGGATCCTTGAATTCATTTGTTGTATAGCTTTGCGCATTATGTTCTAAAATGTGTTGTGCTTTCTCTGGGTGCTCTGGTGTCCTCTCCGCGAAGCCAGACACTCGTGAATGGCGTTGGGCAAACATATCAAAGAGTCTCGAGACTCAGTGAGGATTTCCAGCCTTCGTAAAGAGCACTGTTATTAACATTTATACCTGATTGTCAATTTGTCAAACACTGTCCATACATACCGCAAGACATATGGCATTCAATACCGCACCTTTGTAGAACCGGTTTTTATGGGTTCAATCCCAGATCTCCTTGGGCTAAAAGCCGTAAGGCTACAGCATTGACATTCACTAAGCCTGTATTTTACAAAGCCTCTTTAATTTAATGTGGATGTGTACAAGTGTGGCTTGGTACACGTGACATATTGGAAGGTTTCTGGCTAAAGGCAGATACAACAAAAAACACAAACAGCTCTTCTGTAGGAGCTACGCGTCCAGGCTGTTCGACAAGGGATTCATTCTTCATTAATTACCGTATTGTCCAGATCATAACATACACTTTTTTCCCCTGTACATGTGTATTAATGCAACGTTGATAGTGTTGATAGTGTGCGTTTTATAATTGGGTAGGTGTGTGCGTGTGGGACCAGATTTGTATAACTTTCCTAACACCGGACACAGGTTTGGGGTGGATCTTACATTCCCGGGTGCCTTATAATACCGCCGATAATTCGGTGGAACACAGACTTTAAATGCACTAACAGATTTACGTGGTGGTGCTCTCGTGCTGGGGTCAGCGACCAAAATACCAAGAAGAGCCATTTTTTGCGAATTTGGTTAAAAAAAACTAACCATATTTTAAGAGCCCCCAATGCAAGTGATGAATATGAGACAGTGGTCCTTAATAAGTAACGGTCACGAAGCAGTCCTTAAAAAGCCGCATGCGGCTCCGGAGTCTTAGGTTTGCCGTCCCACTGCTCCGGTGACTTCACTTCAGGTCGTGTATCTGGGAGTCTCTAAAATCGGGTTTGTGGCTTTGTTGGTTGAAAAATAAATGCTTTCACTTCCAGGCTCTTAATATAGAAGAACAGCTGTTAGGGATTTTCGACTGTTATCCATTTGAGACTCAACCATGAGGCGTCATACTTTTACAAAGCCGCTCGCCGTACATGTTCGTGGAAATAGTTTTGAATAAAAATAAACGTGAATTGATTGGCACGCAAGTACTGTACCTGTTACGGTCCTCATAGTCCTAATAGATTCATTGAATTGTCAGGATTTGGCTCGTGGTTCTATTCAAGTCTGTTTATGCAAATTACATTCGACACCAATGAGGAACCACAGGCAAGCTGGAAGGCAGCCAGGCTTTGAGCCGGCGACAACAATCTCCCAAGCTCTGCAGTCTTTATATTAAGATGGACTATATTCAGCCAATTAATGAGTCCATAATAGAGGTTTTATTTGGGTTAGATCGCGTAAATATATAAATGTGTCGTTAAAACCCACCACCACTCGACACAGCTAACTAGTAAGGAGCCAAGCCACAACATTGTAAATGTAAATGTTGTGGCTTGGCTCTCCAACACACCGGTGCGCTGTACTTGTGACGAATTGGCATTTTCTGTTTATGTGACAACTCTTACTAGTTGGCTGTGTCGGGTGGTAGCGAGTTTTAACGACAAATTTATATATTTACGCGATCCAACCCAAAAAACTTCTATTATGGATGATATTGGTCGTGAAAGCCTACGTGTTAAACCAATGAATGAGTGTTTAACTTGTGGGAGTAAAACCGAATAGTGGTATAATTGTATAGTGCTGTAGTGAGATTTTATAGAGCCTGAGTGGAGAATATGATATTAAACAGATGTGGGCAAAGCACCATCCACATGCAGCAAAATCCATTGTTGTGCTGCACTTCTTTACTCCCTTGTCTATGCTCCATCAATCTGTCACTGACCAGGGTGGTGAAGTATGGTACAATAACCCCCATGGGCCACATGGCATGAGAAGGCCCTCGTCTAGCAGTGGATTAACAAAGGATTGTACACGTGCCTGATTATAATGAATCTACAGAAATGTGAATTTGTAGAATCCAGAGTGGTATGAATATATATCGTTGTGAATACATATATATAATTTACAATGGTGTCAATCGCTATACATTTATTAAATATATACTCGTACTGTATATAAATGTAGTGTTGGAAATCTATATCAATTATAGTACGATTAATATATATTATATGTAATGAAGTGAATACTCTATATACTCAAATCTATAGTGCAGTATTTATGAATATACGATAGTGTGAATCTTTGAAATCTGCAGTGGTACGAATCTACAGCAGTGTGATTCTGCAGACTATACCGCGATATAATCTATAGGGGAATACTACAAAGACATATGAATCAGAAATAACCGATCCTTACATTCGCTATTTGATTAATTTATGAAAAGCTTAATCGTCGATGACAGTCGAAAACATGTCATAGCAGCTACACAGAAGTGAATTGAAAGTGTAGTTCATACGCTATCCCTTAAAAAACAGATGGGCTTCCTATATATTAATTATGTATCACCTTGCATGTAGCAGTTTGTGTAATGCATTCAATGTTATAACTTTACATATGCATGTGTACAATTCTCTGTTGTTATTTTTAAAAAATATTCATGTCATATTGACTATACAAAAAATGGTAATTGATCTGTAAATGTTACATTTATATAGAAAGCCAAGATCAGACTTTTTTTCAACAAAAAAAGCCAGGTTCTGCGTTAGGGTTGTTTTGGGTATCATATTCCGTGTATTCACCGTTCACAGTGGACCACCTGTCCATTATATACAGCGTGATTGTACACGTGCCTGTAATTGTATTTATGTGTTTATCTATGTATGCGTGCCTCTGTATGTGGGAAAACGCACCACCTATTGGGGTGCGGTGGTGCAGTGGTGAGCGCGCTGCGATACGAACCCAGCGATCTGAGTTCGATTTCAATATAATGATAACACCTTTGATGATTACCTGGACCGGTCCTGGGCCTCCCCGAGGTCGACTCAGCTTTAAATTAGTACCTGGTGCAGTGTATAAACAACGTCAGCACTGGGAAGACAAAGGCGACTGGGCGTGATGCTGACCACCCACCCACTCGTGTTCCGTGTTAACCTTCATGGGTGCTCGCTAACAGCTCTTGCCCCAGGAATATGTTAAGACTATAGGGATGGGAGGGGGGTCTTTGTGGGCAATCACACATATTGACCCCATGCAGACACTTATATAAACGTATGTACAAGCACACATAGATACACATATATAAGCAAGTATTTACTTACATACACACAACAAAGGCAAAGATCCCACCGATATGCTTAACGGACTGTTGGGTCAAGTTACGTTAGCTAGCATCTGTTAAGGCCTGTACGTCGCACGAGGCGGTGGTGTGGGCAGCACCACGCCCGGCCGCCTTTATCTCCCCAGTGCTGAAGTTTACACATTGCACCAGGTACTCAATGCTGAGTTGTAAACCTATAAACACGCACCTATACACCTACACAAAGACAAAGGTCCCCCCCATACCCTGGACGAGTGTGCATATTCGTCACCGATGTTGACCGTGAACGGGAATCGAACTTGGGTCCCTTGGGTTCGTAGTGTAGTGCGCTAACCACTACACTATCACTTCTAACACGCATAGTTACGCAATCTACACGCACATATATCTTCAAACTCATACCTGCACACAACTTGTATGCGTACACCTACAAAATACATACATGCATACAAACATGCAAGAAAAAGATCCCCATATACCTTAACAGACTGTTGGGTTAAGTGCTGTTCGCGACCACCTATGAAGGTCAGCACGGTGCATGAGGGTTCTGTGGTCAACACCACACGCCCTGCCGCCTTTGTCTCCCCTGTGCGGATGTTTACAACTTTGCTATAGGTATTCATTTAAGGCCGAGTCTTAAACCTACAAACACGCACCTTACACCCACACAAAGACAAGGATCCCCCATATAGCCTGTAACATTTTTGGGGCAAGTGCTGTTAGCGAGGACCTATGAAGAAGGCCAGCATGGCATATGAGGGGGTGGGTGGGTGGCCGGGCCGCCTTTGTCTCCCAAGTGACAATGTTTACACACCGTACCAGGTACTCATTTGAGGCTGAGTCGGCCTAGGACCGGTTCAAATAATCGTCACTGGTGTTGGACGTGAGCGTAATTCGATACGCCTATACACATACAACTACAAGCACCCACACCTCAAAGACACCTACAAACACAGATCTATAAATAATGCACATACTTACACATACACACACACCTATACGTATAGACACCTACACATACCCATCCTCCGTGTAACTTTCAGACTGCAAGGGCATGTCCTGCTAGCAACACATAATAATGCCGGCACGGAACATGGCATGGGTGTTATGGTCAGCACCACACCCGGCCACATTTAGTCTCTCCAGTGGTGATGTTTACACACCGCACCAGGTACTCATTTGAGGCTGAGTTGACCTCGGAGAGGCCCAGGACCGATTCAGATAATCGTCACTGATGTTGGCCGTTAGCGGGAATCGAACTCTGGTCGCCGGGTTTATAGCGCAGCACGCTAACCCCCCCGCCCCCCACATATATACCTACATGTACACACATACTCACTTACTCAAGTTCAGCCAGCATTGCCGATGTCCTCTCTCTGCTGGGAGGTGTTGTCCCTGGGACAGCATGCAGGTTAATGAGAAGCCGCTCTTGAAATTCAGCAACCACACCTACCCATCACCATCACCCCCATCAGCATCCCCCATCACCTCCCACTATCACCTCCCTCTCGACAGCGGTGATGTCATCACGGCCCGGCAAGTGATGTCATCACGGTGGGTGTGGGGGCAGATGCACGTGGGGGCAGCCGTACGTGGGAGATCGGTGGGTTCACCTGTGGGGGTGACATTGAGGGGGTTTACTAGGTGTAGGCGTCAGCTGGAGGTGATGATGACCATGACTACCATCCTCTACCATTCCCCTTCATTACCTGCCGCATAATCACGCCTAATCGCCACCTCATTTATCTTCATAATCACCACGACGCACACTAGTTATGTATTACAAATAATACAACGCTCTCACACCACCATTAACACAGTAATTCTCCACTTTGCTCTGTTGACCCCAATTAAAGATGCAATTCCTCATTTTGTGCAGATAAATGAGTTGTGGAATTTTGTATTAATCCTGTGATCAAGAATTCACCGTCGCTCATTTAAAAATGCCACCTGCCTATTTCCCTTTTAAAAATCAAAGAGCATTTTCCTTCAAAGTTCCATCACTAAAGGTTAGTCAAAATGTGAGTGATCTTGGCGATAATTGGAAAATTCTTAAATTGTCATTTATTTTAAATCTCAAGTTTATCAGCATCATCATGAGTGGTAGTAAGATAACATCATTACCTTAATTATCAGCATTAGCATCATTTGTAATAGCAGTAACAACAGCAGCATCATCATTGCCTTGAATATCGGCAGCAGAGTATTCACCAATAGTAGCTGGTGATGATAATTATATTACTATTATCGCTTAAATTGTCATTTTAACCTGGTGAGACTCGATTGAGGCCATATTTTGTGATCAAAATAATCGTTTTGTTTTTCATTTAAAGGTTGGACAAATAACACTACCTCTTCAAATAAAAATTGACACGTGTATATTTGCATCAAATATTCGTATAACTTCCTTTTTTTCCCCAAAATTTTTTTTTTCTCCTTTTAACAGCCACCACTGGCATTGGGTGAAGTGACTAATGCATTATTTTTACATTAGCATCCTCCTTTGGGCATCCTTGGAATGCAATCCATCTTACCTAGTTTGTTTAAATTTTAGATGTATTCACTGCAACCTAAATGCATTTATTCAATGGAATATAAACCATGTACACATTTCTATTCTGTTTGTGAGTACATTTTAATCGATCCTTGTGATTTTTCAAGGGAATTATGAATGGAGACATGGCATTTAATACAACTAAAATGTGTGACATAAACACAGAGGTTGATATCTTACATTTCACCATATCAGATTGGATTGAATCTATGGTCGCTTGTCAATATTCATACATTTATTTGTATGCGTTGACTTAGAATGTTGCCTTCCAGACAAAACGTTTGCACTGGGGTTTGTTTAATCATGCACATTTTGCACCGGTTTCAGCCTTCTTGGTCCCATAAGTAGTCAGAGAGAATGGCATTTGTCTCTTTATAAAATACCCTTGATTCTCATTCGAGAATATAATGAGAGGCCACTGAGGTTCATTAGCTTTTAATTGGCATCCTTTATTTAACCAGGTGAATCCCCTTTGAGATTAATTGTCTCTTGTTATTTTCATCCTTTTTAGTTTTAAAGGTATCTATAAATGATGATGTTATGAATTAATTATAATAATACTTTCATTTTATATAGCATAATTCATGCTAATTGCATCCCATAACGCTGTACACGAATTATATATGAGGACCAAATCCCATATACAGCCACTACCAAGCAAAAGAAAACCCTACTACCAAGCAACATAAACAAAAAAATGTAAATGGCACCAAAACAAAAGGCACAACAACAAAAACGGTTATCACAAAAGCTAATTTAGTCCATTAGGTCTACACATCCCAGACCACAATCCTGACTTTTCAACCAAGCCAGGAATCCTTCACAGGAGGGGTGGTGGGGTGCCAAAAACCGATGACTAATTTAGACCAATCAGTTATATGTCCAAAATGTGATGACCTAATTTTCAGCGTATGCCTGGATGAATAAAAATGCCTTTAGCTTGCATTTGAATTATATGATAAATGATATGATGCTGAAATTGATTATGCTGCTTCTGCTGCTGATGATGATATTAATGATGTTGATGAAGAAGATATGCTATGGATGAGGACGAGGCTGCTACTGATGCTAATAATGATGATGAAGAAAATGTTGATGATGATGATCCTGCTGTTGCTGGTGATGATGATGAAAATTACTATCCTGCTAATGGTGATGATGGCAATCATAAAGATGACGATAATCGTGGTTGACTCAAGATTGAATTCTTAAAAATGAAATAGCTTTTTTTCCCTAAAGTATCATATTACTGGTGTTGTTGAGAACGGATTGGCAATGGGGCATTCATAAATTATTAACCATGTAACACATATTTATTTATTTTTCGGAACCAATTAGTCAAATGTCATCAAAATGTCAGTTTAACAGCAGGAGCTAAAATGATTATTTTCAGCTTCGGGAGATTAGGAAGGAGACCCCATTGGGCATGTGTGTGGTGTGTGGACCCATGAGCAGGAGATGAGTGGCTCGGCAGGTTCATAATGACCATGTCAAAGACAAAGAGCCAGCACCATACAAATGTTAGGTTTGAGTCCCGGGTTTTGGCGCATCAGTCGGTTCACATTGGCTGAGCTGGCACTATTGAGATATTAGGTTTGAGGTCTGAGTATGTCTCTGTCAATAAGAGGGTTCATAATGCCCGTGTTGGAAACATTGAGCTACTACCATCTCTGATGAGTTTCCTATTGGGGAGGATAATTAATTGATGGCTGTATCATACACTAACTGGCACCATTTAGATCTTGGTTTAGAGCCCTCTGTCTGAATGTTTCCAGCACAGATAAAATCCTGCGTTCGAACCCTGGCTCTGATTGTCCCTATATTCAGGTGAAAAATTGCCAACACGCTTCTTATTCAGTAATATTATACATGTGTGTGGAAAGCATTAGAGCACTGGTTTAGGCTCTGCACTATGTTTCTAGGTTTAATTGCCATCAATTGATAGAATCAGTGCCATGTGGTATCTGAAGCTTTTCTGGGCCTTGCCTAGGTCGACTCAACCTTAAATTTAGCTATTGCGGTGTGTAAATATCAGTACTGGAAAGATAAGGGTCGCTCGACATGGTTCTGGCCCCACCATCCCCTTGTATGTTGTACTGGCCTTAATGGATGCTTGCTATCAATCTATATTGCTTAACATTGGATATTTTTGCATGTAGTATGTATTGGTGTATGTATGAATGTGTGTCTTTTACGGTAAGTCCTCAATGCGTTTTCACTATAACATACTTGTTTTATTTGGGAACATTATTTGCATAACGCGGAACGCGCACCATTATAACGTAGTTTCTGGACGGTCGACGACAAACTACTTTCTTGAGCTGTATGGCTGAACGGTATGGGAATGCTGGGTATACGCGTGGAATGATAGAGTACGCAGTGACATACCCTCATCTCAGTTCTTTGTCGCGCTATAGCAGCAGACTGATTTTATAGTGCAAAAGTGATTCAAATTTGCATTATTTTTATTCAATTAGTTATTCTCGGGTAATGTATACACAAGTAAGTCCTAGCTTAATATGTTTTCGATTAAGGTGTCACTTTTCAGGAATGCATCTGCTGTGTTAAACAAGCAGTTACTGTATTAATATGATGTGTGTGTGTGCATATATCGTATGGGCAAATGTGTGGCCAAACTTCCTGACCCAACAAGCCACAAACCACTATCCTCATGTGGCCAAGAGCCCCAAGAGACACGCAACTTTAAAACATGCATTCCCTATGTGATGAGCGGGTCACGTCGGATGGTCACGTGTCTTTGCATCTATAGTTCAACATGTATTCAACAGCACAGTCTTAGTTAATTGTGGGTAAAAATTCATAGACAAGGATCTATTTCAATATTGAATAATAAAATTTAATTTTGGTCCATCGGCCTCTCGGTGCTATGAACCAGTGTTTTTTTTAGCAACCTTTGTTTAAGCAGACAAGCTGAACGGGTTTAAAATGTCTGAGTCTCATCAGCAGGGTGTGAACCGTGTTCACTCACTTTTAGCCACGTGCATGAGTTTGTTTGTTATCAAGGTTTTTCTGTACATGTGCAAGTTTGGTTTTGATAAGTTACTGTTTTATAATGCGTCAGCTATGTGGCCTGTTAAGCCAATGGTTCTGGGTTGCCTGAGTACAGAAACATTGAATAAAAATAGAACCTTCCCATGAGATGTTATGGCTTAAGTCCTCCCAGAGACTCTAATCACTTACCCTGTGCCACACACACTCAGCGCCCCAGGTACGGTGGGGGGTAAAGGGAGGCTTCTTGTGGATTTACAAATCTTGACGCCGACACACGTACTTTTATTAGGAGCCATTTATTTGGACAGCACTATCTAGGCCCAGGCTTAGATCTTGGTGCTTGAACTCCATCTTTTCAACTGTCCTCCCCTTGTACTGTCCCATTTTATACCCCTCGAGTCCCCTCTCAGGAGCTTCGCTCATCCCACTCTCTTCGGCCAATCCTGGTCCTCCTCCACCAACAGCTGTCAACCTTCGCCTCTACAGTCAACCCTTGCTTCCCGCCTTTTACGTCCGCCCCCCTGAAAAAAACGAGCCATCCCAGCAAACACCGGGGAAGGAAATGACCAAGCCAACAGATCACGGGAAGCCAAAGGGAGCGTCACCCACCAGAACACGATGACACTATTTCAATTTGTCCCTGTGTCCAACTTATGGCAATAAACGATCACATAGGAAAGAACAATTGTGTGGCGTGAGTATTTTTGCGACACGGATTCTGAACCTCCCACAATTAGTAACAGAAACACAACAAGAACAACCAGACTGTGGTAACAAGCGGTGCAAAAGTATCCTGCTCCGGCAGGGACAGTGTCAGTGCAACTGCGCGCATCTTGAAAGGGTCCTTGTCGCCGGTCCGGAGTACACTGCAGGGTCCAGCCATGG